AAAAGTTTTCCCCACTACTTTCACGAGTTAAAATCCTTTTTCTCCCATTATTTTTAGATTGTGATCTTTAAAAAGACTATGATAGATACCTTTATAAATGGAAGTTAAAAGAGATAGCATGCTTTCTGTATAATAAGATATTGAAGGCAAAGAACAGCAGAAGGTGGTAGTTTACACACCTACCTTTCCTGCCATTTTTTAAAATTGAGGGCTTCCTGCATCCTGTCACAGAATTTCTTTTCCTAAAGGAAAAGAATTTCACAGAATATGCTCCAATCTAACCCATATTTCAGTCCTAACCAGGGGTGAAATGCTACCAGTTCGGACCAGTTCACCCGAACCAGTAATACAAAATGCTACCAGTTTGGGCGAACCGGTATTTCCAAAAATCAGCTGGGTGACAATCAGTTGTGATGCGTGATTTATATTAGCTAGAATTGTCAGATTTCCTGCTTTCTAGCTTATCTAAATCACATGGCACTGTGGATTCTCTGGTCCTAACCCTAATATAATCTCATATTGAAAGTTTCACATTGTCTCATCAAATTTGCAGGCAAATTTTTCAAAAAAATGATTACTCTTATGAATCTTGTTGAAGAACTCAAGTTTACTTAATAATAAAGTCTTCTTCAAGTCGAGATCAACTCTTATTGACTTCAGGGATTTTCACGTAATTTTCTTAGTAATAACTCCAAAACAGCTGGCTGCTATCTTCTTTCACATTCTTTTTTTCCCCTGATTTCCCGGTCTAGCCTGTAGTTCTATTATTTCCTAGCGTGAGGGTGAAGGTATGTTCTCCGAGCTTGTATGTTGGTTTCCGAACATTTCATTTCCAGGTTAGGTAACATCTTCAGAATCCATGGTCCATTCGTCATTTTTGCATTACCTAGTGTCTCCTGTTCGTGTACTAACCAGGTCTGCCCCAACTTATCATTGTGAAGCCAGCCTATCAACACTTTTTTAAAAACCTCTTCAGTTTTGTTTCTAACATATTAAAACCTGGCAAATAGACTGATGAGTAGATTTTCAGAAACATATAAGACTCAGACATCTTTTCAATGAAGAGAAAGGGAGATGTGGAATGTGTGAATGAGTGTTTATGAACATAGTGATTTGTATGACAGCAGTGAAAAAAAAAATCTGTTGTCAGTGCTCCTGATGTAGGGAAAGATAAAAACAACTTCCTAAATCATAAAAACACATACTGTATGATGGGCCTGTGTACTTTTTCCACTCAAGGAATTATGAATATTTTCACATGCTGTTGTCACTTACAAAGTTTGTGCATTGCTTAAAACTTGTAAGCATTTATTGCACAATGACATGCATGTTTATTCTGAAAAAACTTAAATGGGGAAGTGTAATGCGTAGGAATGCTGCCAAATTAAAAAAAAAAACTTACACGACATTCTCTGCAGTTCTTGATTAAAATCTTCTGACCTTCTGCCAACACTTTATCTCCATAGATGCATTTTGCTAAAATAAAAAAAAAAACACAGACATTATTATTTAGTCCTAAGAGCAAATAAATTATACACTTTAATAGAAACAATATTGCTTAAGTAAATATGATGTCGTCACTTTGCTTTCAGTCACAGTCAGCGTTAATTACCCTCATTTATTTTGACTGCAATAGTAAATTCATTACAAACATTATTATCTTGAAACATTTTGCCACTCACAATGACAAACTAACTACTTAGTGACCTGAAGTAAAAGCAGATCCAGAACAGATATTGAATTCAATTCATTAACAGAATTACTCATGGCAGGGATATTCTGCAGGATCTACATTTGTGTTAAAACATGCTTGTATGAAAGAATTAAATAGAATTTGAAAAATGGGCCATGATGCAGAAATAACTAAGTAGAATGCTGAGCAATGGGTCCTAATACGTATATGGATTCTGATTAGCTCCAAATACTAAAGGAGAAACTTCAGAACTACTCGCAGTTAAATAGAAGCATCTTCCATAGACATAGCCATCAGACCTGTGTCAATCACTACCAGGAAAAACAAAGTTATATGGATAACCCTAACCCTAAAAAGAGATACTACATGTGTGTGTGTGTGTGTGTGTGTGTGTGTGTGTGTGTNTATATATATATATATATATATATATATATATATATATCCTTGCATATAAAGAAGTTTCTTATTTAAATCAATTCTGCTAAATCAGTTATCTGTGTGTGCTTTCTGGATTTGATTTTTACAACAAATTCTGGCAAAAATACACATGAATAAATTAAATTTAACAAATACAAGTAGTTGAAGAAAATAAATATGCAGCCAATCTGAATCTTTTTTAAGCTGCTGCCAAAATGGTCTTTTATTGATTTGAAAAGAATGCTTGCAACATTGATAGAGCAATTTTTGACTTGCAATTCCTATGGAATACACTTTCCAATGTCAGGAGCTCCTGCTATAATTTGAGGGTTGTGGCTCATGAGTTGCATGTTAATGGTCATTTTCATTTCAAAAAGATATGAAAAACCATAGATTTACAGATATTCACTACTCAAAAGTATGGGAAATAACAGCTTTATGGCAGTTCCTATTATTCTGATTTTTTCCCCTCTATCTCTTTCTACCAAACAACAGCTCTTTTTTTCTTATTCGACAGTACATTTTAACTTCTTGTCAGCTAAGTGTCTCTTTGTCGTCTCAGTTATAGATGGAAAGAAAGAAGCTCAGGATCAATTTTAAAGAAAGCAGTTATAAGAAATGAAAAGAAGAGATCCATGAAGATGAAATTCATAAATACTATAAATAAATGGCATACAGCAAAGTGAATGATTCTTCTGACAATATATAAAAAGTAGAAGGCACAATGCTTCTAAGGGAAAAATCACTTTATAACCAGTTTATAGAGATATTCGTAATATCCTTTTTTCCCACTTTTGTCTGTAATAACTGGTCACTCAAGCCAATTTTACATCTTTTTTTCTCTTTCACACACAGTAAGATTTTTGCAAAATCTTATTCTGCAGCATGTCAATCTAACAGAGCACTAAGAGGTAGCATTTTTTGGTTGGTATATATAGTAAATATTAAGCTTCATTCTACTTGTATAATAGTCTTAAAATGTTCTCCTTGTCCTATTTCTAATTGGCAATTATAATATTGATAATCATAAATTATATTTTAAATTGCTTTAAATAGTTACTTAAAGCCTGTATTCATGTATTCATATTATATTTCAAATATTCAAATATTTGTATGGCAAAATTATTTGCATTTTATGCTGGTCCAAGACCATAATTGTATTTGGCTTTTATCAATTTACAGCAAAATATAAATAATTATATAACCACAGCAGTTCAAGCCTCTTATTAGATTTTAAATTGTGCTGAATATTGGGATCACTATGATGCTCATATCATGATTTAAATTATAATAATTTGAATATCCTCAAGCAGTTCAGTTGATTTGAATTTAATGTCTGAAGATTAATCTCTGATCTGAAGTTAATATCCGAACTGAGATCTTATATTTCTTTTGAGCCAGCTTTTCTTCCAAGTTATTATCTATTTTGCTCTTGCCAAGGATGGAAACTTTTGTTCCAGTGTAACAGAAAGAAAGAAAAAGTGCACAGAGACCTTTCTGGTTTGGGCAAGGAATCACATTAGTTGGCTCTTTGCTTTGATAGAGAATCATATTACTGTAGAGGCCTGGAAGCCATCTTTTGCATTGGGCCTTCAGGCCTACCACATTTATTGTTGTGAGAAACTGGGACATAGATTTATATGGAGTATGGGATATATAGTTTAAATAACATTCCTTTTTCAGAAAGTCAAGGACATCTTGCCCTGCACCTGGTGTGGCATGACTGGGAGGCCTCTCCAGTTGGGACGGTGCTTGATTGGACCATGTGATGGACATGTGAGTGCTGGGCAGGGACTTGAACTTTCATTGGCATGGGAAAAATCTGAAAACTTTCAGATTCGGGTTTTCCCAGATGTGCCACTATGACATCTCTAATAAAAAGGAACTTTAAGGAAACTCGAGCCTCGGAGTCTTCTTTTGTTGGGGATGTTACCTGACAATTACCTCTATAGCATAAATCTCTTTAGTGATGAGATTCACATGGGCCTTAATGTTAAATCATTTCTTTTAAATGAAGACTTGCCCAACAATACCACCTAGAATCAGAAGAAAATTACCTGCACTGAAATTAAGGTTATTGTATACTCCAGGGAAACTATTGATCCATATGGTAAAGCTAGTATTTAAATGGTACTATAATATTACAACTGATGATAGCCTATGTGTTGTATATACTATAAAACTCTACAGAATTTGTTTCAGTGCAACCAACTACCATATAATTGAGTATGATTATACCAGATGCAAAGCAGTAAGCACATGTCTAACAGGCAACCCAATTAGTCTTTGGAATCCAATTAAGAGAATGAAGTGAGTGTTAATGATGCAGAGTTAGTGGAATTTAACAAATAAATAAATATGCACCTTTCTGCATTTTCAACCCAGAGCTAACTCTGCATATATGTGACTTATAATGACAAAACTATTTATTTCAACATTTTTCCAAGAGTACATAAAAGGACATCTCAGACATAAAAACAAATTATTCAGAAAAACTTTTGGTAGGCTTTAAATTTCCCAAGGTATCGAATGAAATCACACATGATTCTTATATCATTTTTCAAAAAGCATTGATTTGATTTCTCAAGTGTGTTATTTTTCCTATCAGTGTAATAAGCAGCATACTTGACATCTGTATGACAAAGCTAAATAGGCCAGGAGATAGCACTTTTGCATGTTAAGAAGCAAATCCATCACTTGGGAATTTCAGTATAACTTTTTTTCTGGATCATCTGCTCTTTCTAAATGGAAAAAATTCAAGTGTGGGTAATATTATTAGTGCTGCCGCGAAGACTGAACTTCATAATGAGACACTCTGCATGGTCTTTGTTTTAGCTAAGTATTTCTCACTAGATTACAATCAAGCTACTTTCAGGAGCATGTTATTTACCTTCACAATAGGCAGAATCCCCTTGGACAGAGACATAACCACTTTTGCATTCGCAAGTAGCTCGTGTGTTCCAGTTTCTGCACTCTGAATTTTCACCACATCGGTGCCCTTGTGCACAGAAATTATGTCCTGAAAAATGAAATGCATTTACTTTTGAATAAATCTGTAAGGAATAAAAAGTTAACTGTAAAATATCATTTATGCAATTCATTTATTCATATTAAGGCATCAGAAAATAGATACTACTGATTAATGTACACATTTAACCAAGGACATAGACTTTCTTTCCCTGGGCATGCCATTTACTTATAGTATATATCGTGTTTCCCCCAAAATATGACCAATTGAAAAAGTAACGCTTAGCCTGATTTTGGGGGGGGGCAGGCCTAATATAAGTCCTACCCCACAAAATAAGCCCTATGGGCATAGCCAGCACAGGAGGCAGCCCTTCCCTTGCCTGGTCATCTCAGGGCTGCTCAGCCTCTTAACTGGCGCCCATGGATCAGCTGAGGTGCTCCGGCTGCTGCCTCCAGTAAGTGTGGCTGCTTTTGCAGACAATTGCAGCTGCAAAAGAAGCCAGAGGCCAAGCAATGCACCACACATGCCTTGTGCCTTCCTTACCTAATGGTACCTAATTCCCTCCACAGAAAAACTGCCTCATGGGTGCCACTTTGGCTGCTGCCTTCAGCAAGTGCGGCTGCTTTTGCCATCAATTGCAGCCACAAAAGCAGGAAGCCAAGCAATGCACTCCAGGCACCTAGTGTCGGCCTTCTGAAAGATACTGTAGCAGCAGCTATCCACAATTTTTTTACCGTTATTTCATCCATGTGGCCCAGTCCGATGTTAAAAGTTAACATTTCAGAAATGTTAAGGGGGGGGATACGTATCCTGCTGCAGAAGTGGCTGGGCCCAAGGAGTGCTTTTGGGAGAGAAGGCAAAGATCAGCTTTGCTTCACCCCTTGCCCTCAGCCTCCCTTCAGCTCTCCAAGAGTCTCTCCCAGACCAAGTTCTGATGGAGGTCAGCCAGAGAAGTGGCCTGCAGGTTTTTAAGAGATTGGACAACCATTTGTCTGAAATGTGATTGGGTTTCCTGCCTCAGCAGATGGTTGGTCTAGAAGACCACCCTCCTGGATCCCAGTCTACTCTTCCCATTATTTACTCTCAGTATCATTTTAAATTTTAAAAATAATTCCCTTGACTAATTAAATGGAAGTTTGAATGGCAACCAGCAGGCAGAAGTGGTTACTACCCCATCTATTTTGGGGCCCTGAAATGAAGGACCCCAAAACAAATTTGGAGTCAAAACAAATTTGTTTCATGGATTTCAGGAAAAAAAAATTCTCTTTTGGTGTACAAGCTATCAAAAACTGAAATATAATTGATATTTCATTAGAAATAATTTAAAAGTGTATTCAGTTTCTCACAACTATACCTGTATTGGTAAAAGTGCTTTGCCTGATATGAGTTTTCACAGGAATTCCTTTTACAGGAATTGCTGTAGAGCAGATAAAACATTTACAACATGGTTTTTTCCTCTGTTTCTTTCTGTCTTACCCCACTCCATGAATACTCGTGATGAAATAATTTAATAATGATTTTCTAAAACCTAAAATATTCTTAGAAATTTCCAAACAGTGAATCTTTTTGAAAAGCACTACACACTAGGCCTTTGACCTCTTCAAATATTACAGCTGAATCCTTCACACCTCAATCAAGGTTGTAGTGTAATTTTCCTATACTTGGCTTTCCTTTGATGAGGGCATCCTTACATCTTTATTACAATTGCTTCCACTAGATTAAATTTTCCTTTAAATTATTTGACTGTGCAATGACCCATTTATCATTTTAAGCTAATTATAGCAGTAATCAAATTCCATGCTTCGGGGAATAGGTAGACAATCTTATTTCACATTGGTGAAGAATATTGTAACTGGTTATGCCCTTAGTTTCCTAAAGGGATCACTCAAATTAGACATATTGGAAGAATTAAATTGGAATTGGAAGAATTTGACAATTCACTCATTGTTCCAAACTATTTTGATTGCAATCTTATTTATTTAATTTTTCCTGACTATTTTTTTGTCAAGACAGTGCTTCCAATTTGCCCCACAATAACCCTGAGAGGTGGGCTGCGCTGAGATCAAGGTAGTGGCCCAAAATCACCCAACTTTCATCTTCAGAGACAACTGGTTTATAGCCTGGTATTTTATTCACTACATCAAACTGATTCTCTATGTATGTTTAATCATTGCTAAGCCAGAAAGATTTATTTTCAAAGAAACAAGGATTATATTAGAATAGACATAATTTTTCTCACATATAATCCAATTATTTGATATCATATTTCTTTTGCCCACTTCAGATAAAGAATCATGCAAAAATGCTTATATTAGTAGTAATGAACCATATTCCAACATTTTATATGACTGCTTTACTCCCCGCCCGCCTCCCCCCCCCAAAAAAAAAACCTGTTGAGCTAACAATACCTAATTATGGAAAGCATTCTGAGTTATCTGTTCTTATTATTCCATACCTGAAGATAATCAAGAAAAGAATGTCTGGAATTATAAATGTCAAGCTACTGTGTGTGGAAAGTTTAGTTTACTATACTATCTTGACATGTATTGCATATTATTTCTATTGAATTATTTCTAATTAATACTGAAATAATATTATTTCCATTGGAAATACTGAATAAAAGGGCCTAATATTAGGGTCTTTTGAATTTAATTTAATTTCTTGCTCATTTTGTTTGTGTGCTGCCCTTTTAGAAAAGCTCTGAGCAGTCAACAATATATTATTATTTTAAAATATATATTTTATTATATATATTATATAATTATTATTATATTATTAATTTATATTTATGTCACACATTTAAGAATTGAACAGGATAATTCAAACATATGGAATGGAATTCCAGGCAACTAGACCTAAATGTAATGAAAAGAAATTTTACAATACAAAAATAAATATTCTACCCCAAATAAGTAATTTCCAACAATATTGAAAAGAACAAAGGGGGGGAAAGCACATACAAGGTTATGTGTCTTCCTGAGCATCCCCACAGTCCAATATATCTTTTAATTGAGATTATTACAAAAGGCAACTCTTAACTGTTTTCTCCAGAAACCTAAGAGGAAAGATGAAGAGGAAATTCCAAACCATAGAGGCAGCCACTAAAAATACTTTCTTTCCTAGGTCACATGATGAAAAGCCAATTTAATCAGCCAATTAATTGGTGATATTCTATGTTTGTGAGACAATTCTATCTAGTTTATTAGACAATTTGTCAATTTGTCAATTAGGTTCCCCATTAATTTTTATTTATTTATTTTATTTTACTTACACTATCAAAGATCTGTGGCAGTATAAAAAAATTCATGGCAGCACAGAATTAAAATCAGCGAATACAATAAATTTGTAAATGAACATATCAAAACTAACAAATCACTATTTAACAGNATGTATGTATGTATGTATGTATGTATGTATATTCCATATATAAGTCTTTGAATTCCTCCCTGGGAAGGGAAAAATTCCACTAATTTCAGCAAGACTAACTGCCAAGTAAGTAGGTTCAGCATTACCTGCCCAAAGTGACAAGTGCCACTTTTTGAAAATGAATAATTGAAATAAGTTATGTAAATTTGCATTTTATAGACTGCTGATTGCAAAAATAACCATTTATTTGTAACCATTTAAGATACAGTTTTATATGCTTTATATGCAGGCCTCTAATTCCAGGTATCTGTCAACAGAAGGACCTTTTCAGGGAAACTTATGCAAGATATAGCTGAAATGTCTAAAGAAGACTCTGGGCAAAACCAGCTTAGTAGACAGTTGTAGAGATAAACATGTAAGATAATTAGTTCATGATCTATATCCACGATCTAGAAGATGCAACATCTTTAACTACCTTTCTGAACCCTGCATCTTGTTTTATTGCTAGATTTCTTTTTGTTGATTCTTATTCTTTCAAAAAGATCCAAAATTCCATGTAGATCTTTAGTATTATACAGAGATATTGACCTAAACTGGTTGTTTTCCTTTATGCTGGTATCTTATATGCGTTTCTGCATAGTGCGGTCAAAAAAGTCAAAATGGCAATTGTGATGGTATAATCAAAGCTATTCCTATTTTAAAAAATGATTGCAACATCATGGTCATTATCTTGACTATTTTGACCATATACAAATACATACATAAATTATAAATTGTGCTGAGCAAGGCCAGGAAATAATGTTTTCCATTGCAGGTTCTAAGTTGATGGAAGTGTGTTGATATTTGAGGCACAAATATATGAAAGAAATATGACCAAAGTGCACTAGTGAGGCTACACTTGAAATATCCTATCCAGTTCTGGTCAGCACAATAGAAAAAAGACTGCAGAGAAGAGCAACAAAGATGATAAGAGGCCTGGAGATTAAACCATACAATGAACAGTTAAGGGAACTAAGTTTGTCTAGCCTAATGAACATAAGGATTAGGGGTGACATGATTATTGTCTTCAAGTATTTGAGGGGCAGTCACAGAGACAAGGGAGTTGACTTATTCTCCAAAGCACTTGAGTGCAGGACAGAAACCAATGGGTAGAAGCTTGTTAAAGAGAGATCCAACCAAGAAATAAGAATAAATTTCTTGATAATGAGAGCAATTAACCAATAGAAGTATTGTGAGTGCTCCATCATTGAAGGTTTTCAAGAAAAGATTGGACATTATTTGTCCAGGATGGTATAAGGGCTCATGCCTTGGGCAGAGAGTTGGACTAAAAATCTCCAAGGTCCTTTCCATGATTCTAAAACTAATTCAAAGGAAGAAAAATGGTTTAGACATATTTACTTAAAACATGCTTTATCCTAATCTAATAATATGAGACAAAGTAATGTCCCATAGCAATGTCTTACAAGTCCCCATTCAATCCTTTATATATTTATATATATTTATTTATTAAATGTATATGCTGCCCATTTCGTTGTTGAAGCAACTCTGGGTGGCTCTGGGTGGCTTCTTCACATACAATCATTAAATGTTACTGTAAAAATCTAATAGATACCTTTCACCCTGGCTTCGCTGATAACGGATAAGAGCCTGTGGCCTAATGGCTAAGATCTCTGCCTGTGTGCCTAGTATGCCATATAACCCAGG